ACTTAATATCTTAACCAATTAATAATCGATTTAATTTTTAAAACATTACTCTTAACTCTAGGTCTTGAATAGTGAACCCTATTAGTTAAGGGTGGTTATATCGATCGGTCATGCCTATTTAAGCTTGAAAAGCCTGCATTTTTAACAACTCAAATATTCGCTCTGTGTCATAAAATTAAATGATAAAACACCAATGGTCCCTGTTCGGTCGGTGAAAACCATGAAAAAGAAATATAAATGCATTCGTAACAAAATAAAATATTATAAATATAAAGATCAAAGCTTTAAATATATCAATGTTATATATTATAGCAAAAATATCAAAACTTTAATGTCTTAAAAATTTAAAAATTTAAAAATTCAAATACACCAACAAAACATCAAAATCTTAATTAACATTCATATATTAAATACAAATGACTAGTTAAATATATAGTTAAAGAATTCTTAAAAATTCTTTTACCAAAAAACAAACTCTTAAAAGTTCTCGTGCAAGATAATTATTTAAGAATTAAATTTTAATATTTTTAAAATAATTTTTTAATAAATAAAAATAACCTTATACTATAATAAAAATTATTTATCATAAATTTAAAATATAATTTTTGTTTAAAAATATTTATTTCAAATTTTAAATATAATTGATATATTCAAACATAATATTTATTTGTATACCTAATTTATTATACATTTTAGTTATATATAATGAATATTTACTCTTTATAAAAATATTAATGCCTTGAAAATTTAAAAGGTCAAATATACCAATAAAATATCAAAGTGTTAATATTTTACAAAAGAAAAATGAAACATATTATTTTCAAGTAGACTAACTCATGGACTTTGTAGATTAAACCCACAAAATACACGAAATTCACAGTTTAAACAAGACAAAATCAATATGGTCAAATAGATTTAAGAATAAACGGGTCTGAATCTACGTGGGTCACGGGCTTAATGGGATAGTTCACAAATCTAGACGAATATCCACTCTTATTATTGAATTTGACACCTTTAAAGTGCAGATATTTCACTTTTAAAAAATAAAGTACAATAAAAATGATTAATTAAAAATTAACTATAAATATTATAATTAATTTTAAATTTTAATATATATAATTTTATCACAATTTTTAATCTTTAATTTTCTAATTAATAATGCGAATGTATTTTATTCTCTTTAGTTTCATGTTGGGAGAGAAATTGATTTTGGATACAAAATTTGTTGGCTAGTCTTGAAGGTAAGTAAGAGTTGGGGATTTAGCTCTGTAAATATACAAAATTTATTTAAAATCCTGTAGCCAAATATTTTAATGTTTTTGTTAATTATTTAATGCGAAATTAATCTAGCATTAAAATTAAGTCAAAGACAACTATTAGTCATTGGAGATCCACATAAGAAGTGTTTAACCTATTTCCAACACACTAAGTAATTACTACTCACTTTCACGTCATTTACACAATTTAATGTGAATTTATAAATAACACTTTAATTAGTACTGTATCAAAGAAGATCCAATCGCGTCCTACATTGATTTTCCCAACATCTCATGTTGGTAATTATCTAAAGTAAATCTTCAATATAAAATTTGAACGAGGAATAAAAGAAATTCACCATTCATATTCATATAAATAAAAGGATGAAAAAATTTCATTTACTTATTTAGATAAATAAAAATAAATAGTGTTTTAAAATTATTCATACAAATTAAAAATAAATTTAACTTAAAATAACATTTTTTAAGCATTCAAACACTACAACTAAAAGAAATTTTAGCAATATTTAAAAAGATATTATCTAATTATGTATAAATATTATTAATTTATTTTTTGTGAAATATTATTAAATATTTCATATAGTTTATGTTACTCAATATTTTTAATAATATTTTATATTTTTTAAATGTTATCAAAGTGATATTTTAATAATATTACTAAATTTTATTTAAATTTATAAAATAATAATTAATTTTAATATAAATATTACTATCACTTATGCTTTACAACTCTTAATCTCCTGCTAGTCTTTAAAAATTGAAGACATCTTAAATAATTATTATCAAATCTATATTAAATATTAAAGATCATTTATCTTAATTATTATTCTATAATTATATATATTATTTATGTGATATTTATTTATTCAATATATACCTTTAATTTTAAAAATAATTAAAAAAATAATATTGATAATAACATATTTAATTTTTTTAAAATAATTTACTATTTAATCTAAAGTAATATTTTAATAAATGTAATAAGCAAATATTGATAAAGAAATAGAATGTAGTTGTGAAAAGAAATAAAATTTTATTTTTTATAGTCAACAAATAAATTAAATTTTCTTTATCTGGTCAGCAAATAAATTAAAATTTTGCAATGACGTTGCGGAAGGAGAGTCAAAGTGTTTTCCGTCCTCTTCATAGTACTATAAATGCCCTAGTCCACACCCTCACTCACTCCACTCCACTCCCTACAGCATTCAGTTTTCTCGTAAAACCAAATAACCCTAATTAACATATTCACTGACAGAGACAACCTGCACAGAAAAAGTAGCGAAAATCGACCCTCACTCGCAGGTTTCGGTTTCATCGTCTTCTCTTTTCTCTTTCTCTTTCTTTCTTTCTCTCTCTCTCTCTATTGTACTGTTAGTGTTAGGGTTTACTGTATTGTTTATTTCCTGTTTCTTGCGCTGCAATTTTCCTTTTCTTGATTTCAAGAAACCCTAATTTCGGTTCGATTCTTTTCGACCGTGGCTTTTTCTTTGAATTGTTTACCGCTTTGCGATTAAAGAACCGAAGCGATGTCGGTTGGACGGTGTTTGGTTGACTCCACGATGACGAGTCCAGTTTTTCAATTAATTTGTGGTTTGGTTAATTTAAAGCCAACCGTTACGATCGAGATTTAAAATGAAATCTTTGAATGCTGCATGTGCCTAGTTAAGAGTTTCTTTATCTGCGTTGAATGTAGTGAATGTTGATGGAATGTGAATCTGTTTCTGTGTTGCTTGTAGAATCTAGGGTTTTTCTTTTCTCTCTCTTTTTAGTTTGGTTAAAATGGAAGGAAATGGAATAAAGAGCAAGGTGTTGATTTAATTAAGACCGGAATTAGACTTAAATTGCTTTATTTATGGTTCTGTAACTGATTATTATTAATTGGACAATTTATATGCCGGGGTGGGGTGTTAATTAGTTTATTTATTGCATTTTAAAGTTTACGTGTTGTTGAAAGATATTTTTTTAAGATTTGTGATGATGCAACGTGTGGTATTGGATGGCGGAGGTTGAAGCTGGTGAGTTTTTTCGTGGGAAATGTGGAGTTGTTAACTGCATTACAATTTACACAGCCTCTGACATGGTAAATGTGGAGTTGGATAAGGATGAACCGGTGAATGATTTATTTATAGTTTGTAAAAGATTTTAGGGTATAGATTTCTTAGATGATATTGTGCAAAACTGCAAGTATAGAATGTTTTTGTGAAGGAAAAGAAAAATACACGGAGAGCTTCATATAATTCTTAGTGTAAGACTGAAGACAGGTTGATGAAGGTATTATTTTAAAAGTGGGGAGGGGGAGAGAATTTACAGAAACACTTTAAAAATGTTAAATAAATGTTTATTAGTATTATACTTGTAGAGATCCCGTGATCATTTTCACAGTAAACAGAAATGGTGGTGTCACTTTAGCTGGATAGAGTGAAAATATGTGTTTCAAAATCAAGGGAATTTTTTCTTCTTGCCCCACTTATAATGTTTTAAATAGAAGAGACAATCAGATAATTAAATGGGAAGGGAATGCTGCTCTTTATCAATTCCCGTCAATCTGTTAAAATAACGCTTGTTCAGGAGACAAAATGTTAGTCTTTAGCCGTTAGTTTTAAGTTACTGTATTAATCATGACAAGGAAGGGATAATTAATGTACTTTGAATCAATGGTGTGTGAAAGAAAGAAAGGAACCTCTATAAGTAAAATGAGCATTTTGAACATTGAAAAATAAATAGTATTTTATTGAAAGAGAATAGCATGCTGTGATCATAGTGACTTGTAATAGCTTACCTAAATGAAATCCATTGTTTTAATCGACTGCGTGAATTATTGTTAAAACTCGTTTGATTTTGAAAGTATTGTTTGATTAACAATTAGCTCTTTTTATATATCATTTACATACATGACACAGTACCAGGCTTTGTTGTACTATTCATAATTGATACTTGATTGAATTGGTTTGTCATGCTGTGCACTATTGACCTTTGTCTTTTAATACAATACAAGATTTGAAGATTTTGGTTCTCTAGCACATTCTTTTTCTTCCTTTCTGGTACTTGAATAATTTAAGAATTGACAATCCGTATTAGTGTAAACTGTCAGTAAATTGTACTTAGCAGCTAGAGTAACTTAACTTATTCCGAGGATTCACATTCACAGTTCACATGTCCTATAAGTATCAGTGTCGAATAAAAACTCATTCTGCATTTCATGACCAGGCAATCATATATAGTCTAAACCGGAAGCAAATGATTAAAAACCCATTCTTTTAATGTAAAATAAAAAATGTGGAAAGCGCCTTCCTTCCTTTCTGCAGCTTGCATGGGACTACTACTCACCATTTATAAGAAGAGTTTGGAACTATAATAATTTTTCTTTAAATGATAATAATAATTTATATGCTAGAACATTCAAAGTTACATAATGATTCGTATGCTGGATTCTTGAAGGGTGTCACACAGATTAGGTAGTCATCTTAGATGTTATCATGTGTTGAATCATGAGTTTTTCTTTCTAAATTTTGACATTTGATAATCCAATTTTGTGTCTGTTTGGTTCATGCCGTTTGATGGATGTCTTTTTCGTTAAATTGTGATTTTTAGGCTATATTTTAATTGCTTTCTGTCTTCCTATTTTTAAATAAAAAAATGTATGTATGCATGCATTTTTTGTAACATTAATAATTTCTAATGGCTTATAGTGCTTGCAGAATAAATAGTTTCTGAAGTAACAAGATGTACGGCAAGGGTTCTAATCTCAGGAATACCTGCAAACAGTTACCAGGAAATTCTTCATCATTTGGTTCAAAACTTCCTTTGCAAACAGGTTTTGATTTAAGCCACCAATATAATACAAGGGATCAAGTAGGGGTCTTCCCAGACTGGCGTAAGAATATTGCAATCATTCATGAGCGTAATTTGATTAGAAATAAAATGTAAGTAATATAAATTTTTACATTAACCTGAACTTGCATAACTTTTATCTTTATAAAATACAAAAGAGGCTGAAATTATTTGTAGTGGTATAAAATTTTCATTGAACTGAGACTAACTAAATTTTATTTCAGTTTTGCAATATTCAGGTCCGGAATTCATTATAAAAAAGAACAGGCATTCGTTATTGCAAATGCTCTGGAAAACGAGCTATTTATCGAAGCTTCTTCACAGGTTTGTTTTTGGAACTGTGTCTATGCATATGAGATTTTCAATTGTTAACTAGACAATGAGAGGATCAAATGCACATTGAGTCCAAATCTTTTTAATTAAGCAACCTTTTATTTATTGATGAATTTTTTTCTACATATTTTGTAGGAAGAGTACATGAATGAGAATACATTGATAGAACGAATGGATAGTAAACTGAAAAAGTTAACAGAGACAAAATGCAGGGAACAAGCAGATAGTTATACTATTTATACATCCAAGACGCTGCCCCCTTCTGGTTTACCACAACCTGCTTTTCAGAAAGTGTACATCAATAAATCACCTAACTTTTCTGTTTCTGCTTGGGTTAGCAATCTGGAAGCTAGGTCCAAATCAATTAATTACCATTCTCCACAGCAACAGCCAGATAATTGTACGTATATACTAGTCTTGTAATTTCTTAAGTTTCAATCCATAATACATGAGCTAGAATTATTATTATTATTATTATTATTATATAATGTATTATTTACAATTTGTAAGCAATATTTTGGTAAAATTTATATGGCCAAGCCTAATTCATGCTTTGTGAATCAAGGTGAAAATTACCATCAAATGTTGGAGCACAAAACATTGAAACAGCCAGAATATTTTACAAGAAGTCTCAATGTGGATAAACAGTTTACTTTAAGAAGCTCAGCAGCAGACCTTTTGGATTTAGATGGATCTGCTAATATGAATTCAGGCAGTAGTTCCATAGTTTCAGATACACAGAGGATCCTTCTTTTATATTTTTACTGCAACAATTTAAAAGATTTTTCACGGGATCTTGTCACGAAACATTTGCATTCAACAGTTTGTGGTGAAGGGACATGCACTTGTCAACAGTATAGAAAGCTGTTACTGCATTTTGATGACTGTCAAGATGATAACTGTCAAATTTGTTATTCCTGGAAATTGCGGGGCACTAATATTCAGAATAGCGTAATTAAGGATTATGTCGTAAGAAAAAATGTTTCTTCAAGTAGTTCTGAACACATGTTATCACCTGCTGTCAAAAGAAGAAAAATAGAGTCTGCTTTTGATGTCTCTTTAATCGACAGTGCAAGTTGGGATATGTCGACTCACAAACTGGCTCAACATTATTCTTATGAAGCACTTTCAAATTTTCAGCAACAACCAGAATCTTCACTCCTGTTTAATTATTCTAATGTTTCAGAGTGCAATTTTAAACAATTTCCAATGCCTGATTCGATCAGTAATACTGAGATAAAGAACAATGTGATAGATGATGCATTTGGGAATATTTCTAAGGATGAAACAATTCTCTCTAAAGACTTAGACACTGATCACATGTCAGAAGAACCAGACCCCAAAATCAATGATGGGAAAGTCAGCAGAAACCTAGAGGAAACTGTCACTAGATCTCATTCCGTTGTGTATGCTCTCAAAGATCTTATGTCTGCAAATATAGAGGAAATTGTTCCCATTAGCGATCATGTGAAAGACATAAGAAACTTAGAGCAAGGGAAGGAAGATCATGTGAAAGACATCAGCAACTTAGAGCAAGGGAAGGAAGCGGAGTCCCCAAATCCAACAGTTAATACTGTTTCTCTAACTGATTTTTTTACATGTGATCAAATAATGGAACACATTGCAAGTCTGAGAAAGCAATTTAATCAGGTTAGTACGCCATTTTTGACTGTTTTCTGTTACCTTGATCCTGTTTTCTGTCAATAATTAAAGTTACATAATATTCTATAAAAGCACACTTGATAAAACGTTTAAGTGTTGAGGGTTGAGGCCGGATCAGTGTATGTCTTCTGTGTCCATTGCCTGTTTAAGTGTTGAAATGTACTACAATGTATAGGTGTGTTCATAAAACGTTTATAATACCTAGAGTTCTGATACTTATTTTTACTATGTATAATATTTTATTATGTAATGAAATGTATTACAATGTATTGTGCGTTCATAAAATCCAGAGCTCTAAGTGTAACCCTTATTTTTACTAATTATAATTTTAATTAAATAGGCACCAGATCATGAAATACTAATTATAATCCTAATTAAATAGGAACCAAATCATGAAATAAGAATATATGGCAATCAACTTAAGAGGTAATAAATAAATAACAAATTCTTAAGTATAATTCAAGATACGACATCGTATATTTTATATATTCAGCCAAGAAATTTCAATCACTAAACATGTCTTTCTTTTATTTAATCAAGTATTTCCTTTATTTTATATTATTTTTGTTTTAGTGAGTGCTTTAAAGGACCAACTCCCAAGTTAAATTACTAGGTGGAGGTCCTAATAATTTTCAGGTGTCTGATGTCCCCTAAATTTTTTTACCTATGATCAAATAGTCAAGAGTTCAATACTTGGTACCCTCATTCTTTATAATGAAATTAAATTTGAAGATATATCAAAGTATGTATGTGCATTGTTCATGCTTCAATTTCTAAGGGCTCTTGCATAAGGATATGTTTTTTTTGAATATTTGAATTTCTATATTTGCAAGTTTGTTTATGAATTTTTCCTGGCATATACAAATTGATAATTTTATAAACAGAGTGCAAAGATTGAAGAACAAGGAGTTGATGTTTACAAATGCCAGTTATGTGAAATTGGAACACTTCCTTTTGCCCCCGTGCCAATTTATTGCTTTTGTTGCGGCATCCGTATAAAGCGAAACTCATACTATTACTATAGAAGAGAAGAAGATGATACACAACCTTGCTTTTGCACTGTGTGTTATAGGAATTCTCGAGGGGGTAACATCACATTCAATGGGACGTCTGTTTCCAAGACAGATCTTTATAAAAAGACAAATAATGGAGAATTTGAAGAAGCAGTAAGTTTAATATCTCTCTACTATAATTGACCTTTATATAGAAAATTTAAACTCACCTTTTATGATTATTGTTTCTTCAGTGGGTTGAATGTAATAAATGCAAAAGTTGGCAGCATCAAATATGTGCACTCTATAACGATAAAAGAGATTTGGACAACAGTGTTGAGTATACGTGTCCTATATGCCGCTTAAAGGAAATTGAAAATGGAATGCATGTACCCTTACCAAAGAATGCTATGTTTGGTGCTAAGGACTTGCCAAGCACCATGCTAAGTGACCACATAGAGAGGCGACTTTTTAAGCGTCTCATGCAAGAGAGTGAAGATTGGGCAAAGGTCGAAGGGAATAAGAATCTTGACGAGGTAAGGCATACAATACAGTTCAATTAAAGATGTTGAATGCATATGTTTTTGCATTGGCATGAATGTGCATTAACTTTTTATCTTTTAACATATTCTTATCTTTTAAAATTGGATATTTTTTAGATATTAATTAAAAAGTTCATATTTTCTGATTTGACTTGTGTGACTCTAAATTGCTAGGTTTTATTAGCAGAAAATCTTTCTGTTAGAGTAGTGTTATCTGTCGAGAAACAATTGAAAGTGAAGAAACAGTTTCTGGACATATTTGTGGAGGAGAATTACCCAGCCGAGTTTCCTTATACATCAAAAGTAAGTCCAGAGGTTAATCAATGAAAAGATATAACTTCTTTTTTTTTTTAATTACTTGAGGAGTAAATCTCTGGCATTATATTCAGAAGTGACAGCGGTTCCACCTGTTTCAGGTTATTCTTCTGTTTCAGCAGATTGAAGGTGTAGATGTATGCCTTTTCGCAATGTATGTCCAGGAGTTTGGATCCGAATGTGGCAATCCAAATAAGCGTAGTGTGTATATTTCATATCTTGATTCTGTCAAGTATTTTCGGCCCCAAAGAGCGACCATGAATGGAGAAGCTCTTCGTACCTTCGTTTACCATGAGATATTGGTATGTTGCTTATATTTCCACTAGGGTTCATTTATTACATCAATTAACCGACACAATAAACACTTCAAACCTTCCGTTTCTTTTATTCATGTTTTTCCTTATCTATCCTCAGATTGGATATCTAGATTTTTGCAAGAAACGTGGTTTCAAAACTTGCTATATATGGGCCTGTCCACCTATAAAGGGGGAAGATTATATACTATATTGCCATCCTGACACTCAAAAAACTCCGAAGAATGATAAACTTCGGCACTGGTCTGTCTTTCTTTCTCTCCTTATATGTGTGTTTAGCTTTCATGTACTTCTATATATACATTTTGTTGGCTATATCCCAATACCGCGAGAGTACTGTACTGCTGTACAATTGTCATGTTATAGAAACAGTAATTGCTTCTTTTATTTATCATCCTTTCGCTTTGAGCAGTGCCATCATGTAACCATAACCATTGAGTGTTTATATATATTGTTTGTTTAATTTATGCAGGTATCTTTCAATGCTAAGAAAGGCTGCCGAAGAAAATATCGTTGTTGGTTTAACTAACATATACGATAATTTCTTTGTTTCTACAAGAAATTGGAACTCCAAAGTAACAGCTGCTCATTTGCCTTACTTTGATGGAGACTTCTGGTCAGGTGCTGCTATGGATAAAGCCAGGATCATTGATCAAGAGTGTGGAGGAGATTATGAAAAGATGAAGAAACTAATGACGAAAAGAACTTTGAAGACTATGGGACATGTAAATCCTTCAAAAGGAACTGCCAAAGACATTCTAGTCATGCAAAAGGTATGTCTACCTTGTTTTTCACCTTCCTCCATTTGTTACATTTCTCAACCTGGGTTATATTCCTTTAGATAAATATTTAAAAGAAATGTTCCAATATTCTTATATATACGAGTTTAAGTTACGTACTTACGTTGATCCTTCATACTTATTAGGTGTTAGTTATCTAATCTTTCTGCTTTTTCTTTTTTCATGATGTTAATTAGCTGGGACAAACCATATTGCCATTCAAGGAAGATTTCATCGTAGTTCAATTACAGTATGTTTGCATGCACTGCCATGAAGTGATAATGTCTGGGAAGCGATGGTTTTGCACTGCCACTGAATGCAAGACATTTCAGGAGTGTCAAAGGTGATCATAACTTAAAAGTCAAATATTTGAGCTATTTTTTCCCTCTCATGCTTTATATCTGCTTTAATTAGAATTTTGATAGTAAAACACTTTTCTTCTCTGTAGTTGGCACTTTGCACAATTTTTATGTCGTCTATGTTCTTGTAAATAGGTATAAAAAAACTGCCACTCATTCATCTGACATTTCTCTCGTTAAACAATTTATTCAAGTCATACCTTTCTCTCCTAATTTAACGCTTTCCAAACTTCAACATGTATATACCTTCCAAGTTAGGTTATACCTCTCTTTTATCTTATTTGTACACTTGAATATTTTTATCGGTCTATTTCTTCTTCTAATTTACTCTCTTATTTCTATCTTTAAATTGAATTGCAATATTTTTCTTAAGAAATTATTGATAGTTAAAAATAATTTTATATCAAAATTTAAAAAATGTTCTTATCAATCCAAACTCTAGTTTATATATTTAAATATATTTTTATTATGAATTTTAATTATAATATAACTTATATATTAAACATTATTTATTTATCATTTAAAATTTAATTTTAATTATATAAATTAAAAATTAATCTCTCGAGTATAATATAAAAATTAAAATAACACTCACATTCCTCTATATTTATTTCTTACCCTAGCTTTAGCATTTTTTTTTCTTTCCCTCTACCAAGATTTTTCCTTGTAAGATACATACGTCAAATAATTTTGATTATGAACCTCTTAGTATCTTCTCTTAATATTATTCTTATTCTTTTGTGTTAATATTTCAGATGCCATACTGCTAACTCACACACCTCTCGCAACGGTGAGAAACATACACTTCGTCAGGTACCTTCCTAAACTTGAAGCTAAGTTCATATGATTTTTTGAAACTACATGCTTTAATTATTGTGTGCCTTTCCAGGTCTTCATGGATGATATCCTTTGTGATACAAAGGAGAATGATGTGATCCTTGACAATGGGTTATTTGACACCAGGCATAACCTTTTGAGTTTTTGTCAAAGGAATAGCTTACAGTTTGACTCACTCCGCCGAGCCAAGTATTCCTCAATGATGATCCTCTATTTTCTAAAGAATCCTAATTTGCTGAATGTTGGAACAATATGTCGCGTTTGCAATAAACAAAACGTATACCAGTGCCACTGGAAATGTCAGAATTGCCCAGAGTTCACTGTCTGCTCTGCATGCTATAACAAGAAAGGTGCTAATTGCCATGCACACACGTTGACTCAAACTTTTTCAACAGCACTGAGTCCTTCGGGGAATCAAGAGTTGAATCAGAACTCGGCACTGGTATGAACCTAGTTCCCACACTTGTATTGTTTTCATTCTACATTGTTTTAGTTTCTAGTAATAATATTCATGCATGCTTGCTCATGCAGATACAGGAACTGCAGGATGTTATAAAGCATGCATCTCAGTGTCACTCAACAAAAACTCAACCATGCACATATCCACATTGCCTTCAACTTAAAAAGCTGTTCTCTCATGCAAGTAGGTGCACCATTCGAGTTTCTGGGGGATGCCAATATTGTAAGAAGGTTTGGGTGGCACTATCTGTACACTCAAGGAATTGTAGAGACTCAGGATGTCAAATCCCCCGTTGCATGTATGTTACTTCATGAGCTTACAAGAACTAAAAAGTAAATTGCGTATAAATATTTATTCTTTCTTGATATATATATTTATCCAATTTGCAGGGATCTGAAGAAGCATGCAGAATGGATAGCAACGCAGTCTGAATCGCGGCGTAGAGCTGCAGTTTTGGAGGCGACAGCAAACTCTCACCCTCATTGAATAAGTTGTGAACTAGTGAATAATTTGTAAATTTATAAAGCTTTAAGGTATTGTACATACTATTTATAGAAATACATTTATAAGCTTTAAGGAATTGTATATATATTTTTATAGAAATACAATTGTGTATTTAATCCTCTTTGCTATGCAATTTTGTTCCATCTAATTGCATTACATGCATCTGGTTTCCCTAACTGTATAAATTAGGTCCATCATCTAATGTATTTTTTGGCTTGGTTGACAACTTAACATGCATTAGGAAAAACCTAAGCCCCACCTCAACAAGAGATAAAGACAAATAAAAAGTTTATAAGTGAGACATAATATTTACTTTACAAATTAATTTTATAGAGTTGAATTAAATCTATAACTTACCATTAAAATGGTATTAGAACTATCATTGGTCCTCTATTTATATATGCACTAAACCAAATAGAGTTTGACGTGTTCCACATCTATTAGAGATAAAATAAATAAAAATATTATAAGTGGGAAAACAACTCTCACCTTAAAAATTGATTTTGTAGAGTAGGTTTATATATAACTCACTATTCTAGGATAGTATTAGAGTTATCCTATATTCCCTAAAAGAGTTAACCACCATTTATACACGTATTTAGATTTTCATAAAAAAGTTATCTATCATTTATACACGTACCAAACTCAATAATATTGAGTGTGGGAGGATCCATTATGAAAAACTTCTCTCATCAACTAGATATAAGGCAAACAAAAAGTTTATATCCTAGATCATTAAAATGGGGTACTCTCCTTTTATTCAGATACAAAACCCAATAGTTCTGAATGTGAAGATGTGTACTAAGAAAAAAAATTCAAATGTCACATCGACTAGAGATAAAACAAATAAAATTTATATCCTTGATCATTAAAATGGGCTACTCACCATTTATTCACTCATCAAGCCAATAGTGTTGAATGTGAGTGAATGTATTAAGAAAAATCTAAGTCCTATATTGACTAGAGATAAGACAAACAAAAGGTTTAAAAATGAATGATAATCCTCATCTTACAATTGATTTAGTAAGATTGAATTAAACTCATAATTCACTATTTAAGAACATAAATATGGTTAATGAAATATGTAATGACACATGAGTTGCATCTATTGTAGCCATTGTTTGTCTCGTTGTAGGATTGAGAAATTTGTGAATGTGATTAGGGTTTGGAACTGGATTTTGTTCCAGAGATCCAAAAGGCTAATTGTTGGGATTCAAACAAGTCTCACATCAATAAAATAATATTCTGAAATATATTTTTGAAAACCTTTTCTTAATCAAAGATGAGTGATCACTCTAGAGTACATGGTCATAACTCCTATAATAGTAGACCTAGTGTTAGGGATGAGATTAGGGAGTTAAAAGAGTACATAAGAAAAAAAAAAGAGGAAAACATAAAAAGAGAGGAAGAAATTAGAAAAAGAGAAAAAGAAAATGCCAAGAAAAATGAAGAAATAAGGCAATCACTTGCAAAGTTGGTTGTTTGGGGGGAAGCTAGTGGATCCAAACCAAGGGTCCCTCCAACTAGGTCCTCAAAAGGAAAAGGGGTTAGAATCCCTACAAGTGTGCATGAGGAGGAAGGGCATCATACCCAACCTCCAAGTGAGAGCCTTTATATTAGTCATCACAATGATGATTACTATCAAAGACCCCCAAGACAACCTAAACATAGGGAGTCTTCCAATAAGGAACCCAACATTACTATTCCTTCATTTCATGGCAAAGATAATGTTGAAACATATTTAGATTGGGAAATTAAAGTTGAATAACTTTTCTCTTGCCATAAAGTAAGTGAAGATAGGAAGGTTTCTTTAGCAACCCTTAGCTTCCAAGGGCATGTTATGTATTGGTGGACCTCCTTAGAAAAAGAAAGGAGAATAAACCATGATCCCCTAAACCAATATTGGAATGAGCTCCGTAGTGCTTTGAGAAGGAGGTATATTCCTCCATACTATGACCGAGAACTTATGGATAAGCTTCAAAGATTGAAACAAGGGTCATCTAGTATGGAAGAATATAGTCAAACTATGGAGTTACTAATGATGAGGGATGGGATTAGGGAGGAAGAGAGGAACACTATATCAAGGTTTCAAAGTGGTCTTAACCTTGAGATAAGAGATAAAGTTGAACTTTTACCTTACAGAGATTTGAATGAACTTGTTCAACTTTGTTCAAGGGTGGAGCATCAACTTAAGAGGAAATCTTTTCCAAAAGACTTCACTCCCTCTTATTCCAAGAGTTTTAAGAAGGAGGTCCACTCTTCCCAACCTTATCCCAAAGAAGAAAAAAGATTAAGAAAAAGATTAAGAAAAACAAAATTCATCATCTTTCAAAGCACTTTCCAAAGAATCTAAGTCAAGTGAAATCAAGTGCTTCAAGTGTCTTGGAAGAGGACATATTGCTTCTCAATGTCCTACAAAGAAAACTATGGTTTTAAAAGCCCAAGATCACTATAGTATCCTTGATGAAGCACTTGCAAAGTTGGTTGTTTGGGGGGAAGCTAGTGGATCCAAACCAAGGGTCCCTCCAACTAGGTCCTCAAAAGGAAAAGGGGTTAGAATCCCTACAAGTGTGCATGAGGAGGAAGGGCATCATACCCAACCTCCAAGTGAGAGCCTTTATATTAGTCATCACAATGATGATTACTATCAAAGACCCCCAAGACAACCTAAACATAGGGAGTCTTCCAATAAGGAACCCAACATTACTATTCCTTCATTTCATGGCAAAGATAATGTTGAAACATATTTAGATTGGGAAATTAAAGTTGAATAACTTTTCTCTTGCCATAAAGTAAGTGAAGATAGGAAGGTTTCTTTAGCAACCCTTAGCTTCCAAGGGCATGTTATGTATTGGTGGACCTCCTTAGAAAAAGAAAGGAGAATAAACCATGATCCCCTAAACCAATATTGGAATGAGCTCCGTAGTGCTTTGAGAAGGAGGTATATTCCTCCATACTATGACCGAGAACTTATGGATAAGCTTCAAAGATTGAAACAAGGGTCATCTAGTATGGAAGAATATAGTCAAACTATGGAGTTACTAATGATGAGGGATGGGATTAGGGAGGAAGAGAGGAACACTATATCAAGGTTTCAAAGTGGTCTTAACCTTGAGATAAGAGATAAAGTTGAACTTTTACCTTACAGAGATTTGAATGAACTTGTTCAACTTTGTTCAAGGGTGGAGCATCAACTTAAGAGGAAATCTTTTCCAAAAGACTTCACTCCCTCTTATTCCAAGAGTTTTAAGAAGGAGGTCCACTCTTCCCAACCTTATCCCAAAGAAGAAAAAAGATTAAGAAAAAGATTAAGAAAAACAAAATTCATCATCTTTCAAAGCACTTTCCAAAGAATCTAAGTCAAGTGAAATCAAGTGCTTCAAGTGTCTTGGAAGAGGACATATTGCTTCTCAATGTCCTACAAAGAAAACTATGGTTTTAAAAGCCCAAGATCACTATAGTATCCTTGATGAAGCTACTTCATCTTCCTCTAGTAGTGAAGATGAAGCCATAGATTCTGAGGAAGAAATCTTACCTTGTGAAGGAAACTTATTATTGGTTAGAAGGATCCTTAGCAATGAATCTAGTGAAATTGACCAATCTCAAAAAGAGAACGTGTTTCACACAAGATGCAAAGTTTTAGAAAACACTTGTTCTCTCATTGTAATTTGGTAGTAAGTGGTTCACTCCAGTTTGAAATGAAATAAAATCTACTACCATTGTCTTTAGTGATACATTGTATTGTCCTTAATAATACACTGTATAGCCTAACTGTTTAGCAATTGAAGTTATCAATTTCCATTAACAATATTACCAAATTCAGTGTTTGAAATGCTTTGTACCTTGGGTTTTTTTCCCACATCAAATATACAATACGTGTCTGGGTGAAGTGGAGTATACATCAAAGGATAGAACTTTGGCATAAATCATTGAGAGTGGAAGTTTCACTATCAAAGATATAGAATGCACCTCCCTAGATAATTGAGTGTGAGAGTTTCACTATCATAGGTATTGATTTTAGTTTATAGTATAAAAGGAAAGTTTTTATCTATAATTTGAGTGTGTTTATTATTTTTTTGAAAAAAAAAATAGAAGTCTATGTATTAACATATGTCAACAATCCTCTGCATATCACAATAACGTGATATGAATTTATAAATATAATTAATATATCAGAAAAAAATAACAACCAATGGAATAGTACTTATAATGACATATTTTAATTCAAATATCATACGAGATAGTTATTTTAAGGATTAAATATGTTTTTGATCTTCTCAAAATTAACTATTTAATTTTAGTCCCTAAAAAAATTCTTGATTATAGTCCTCTAAACTTGTATAATACTTATTTTTAATCATTTTTAAATACTATTAACTTTTTTAATTTAAAATATTAATTATTTTAAGATTGAGTTAAGATTTAGGATAAAAATTAATTTTACACTTAAAACTTTTACTATTCACTCTTGGACCTAGACATGAAGGTTGCAAAAGTACTCTATTTTAGTTTTTATTTTTCTATTTTTCTTTCACCGTCAAAGAGAAAGCCAAGAGTCTCTCATTTATGGAAGACAACACCTTGAAGTTTAGGGGGAGAGAAGAATGAGCGTTGTTTAGAATAATTAGTGTGTCGAGGGCTTTAAGATCTTCTTAAGGTGAAACTGTGTTGCTAAAAATTATAAATTTGGAGCTTAGAAGGTTGCCAACGAAGGTGTGAAACTTGGCATTTATGGGCACGACAATAGTGAGAAAAAAAAAACTTTACTTTGAACTTGTGAGAAGATTTTATTAGAATTTGGTGAGAGACTCTTTATTCACGTAAAAAAGAAATTATTGAAACCTCCATACTTGTGTTTGAGAGTGAATAATGACAAGTTTTAAGCGTAAAATTAGTCTTTATATTAAAACTTATTAACTTAATCCTTAAAAAATTAATATTTTAAATTAGAAATCACTACAAGAAATTCGCGGATTAGCGAG